TATGCACGCACGCACATGTTGGGAATGAAGATGATGGAACAGAACACAGAAATTGTTAGGTCCTGTCTTCATGCACACAACTATGATGAATAGCCGATTTTAACTCAGTCTACCTGGGAACCTTCCTTCCTCATTGTTTTATTTTTCCTTCACCAGGTTAGATGGGTACAAGACTTACAACAGGGATTCTGTGAGAGGCCTCTGACCTCCCCCATCCTCTCCCCATCAAGTGATGTCCATGAAAGAACTGTCAGCCCATAGGCCCTTAGATTCCTTTTATCCAGCTGACATTCTCCTGCCCCATCTCCTTATAGGATAAATACAAGATGTGCAGGAAGCCTGGCCCCTGTCTCTGAGCTCTGCATCTCTCCTGGCCTTAGTCTTCTTTTCCCCTTCCTCCCGAAGTACATGAGAGTTCCTATATTGGCTCTGTCTGTCAGGATCCACATTTTGCTTTTGTTTTCTCACAGGGTATGTTTTGGAAAACTTGAAGCAACTTTTCACTCTCAAATTCTGTCATTCAAGATTGTTGTCTCACTAGGTAAGCTGATTAATAGCCTCTTTGTTCTAAATAGTAGCTGACCTCCCAGCTTGCATTCTGGAGTCTTCAAAGGGCCAGACCTCCAGGAGCTCATAATTGAGACAGAGTATATGAGGGTCAGGAGGAATTATCATCACAGCATAGCATAGCATACGTAAGATGTGTGGGCTAGCACAGTCTCTCATTCCTTACCTCCCAGACTAGTTGCTACTCTCAAGTTAGGATATTCTCTCTCCATTATATATATAATATATATGTATATAATGGAGATATGCAGTGTATGTATACATATATACACACATACACTGCATACCCTACTCTACAGAAGGAAGTAGATCTAGGGTTAGCTCCTCTCAAGAGGAACTACTCATTCATAGTCTCTTATCGACTCTAGGAGTTTGGGATGTATACACTTCTTGAATTTTCTCCCTATATTCCTGCTTATGGAGGACTCAGGCATGTAATCTCATGCAATTTATTACAATATGGTCAATGTTATTATATGATTAGGAAAAGTATTTTATGGGAACACAGAGAAGGGGTGCCTAATTTTACCTAAAATTGTCAAAGTGGGCTTCCCAGAGGAGTGAAGCCAAGTTAAGGATTGAAGATTAATTATAGTCAGGCACCTGGGTGGCTCAGTCGGTTAAGTGTCCAACTTTGGCCCAGGTCATGAGTTAATGGTTTGTGAATTCAAGTCCTCCTTTGGCTCTCTGCTGTCAGCACAGAGGTTGTTTTAGATCCTCTGTCCCCCTCTCTTTCTGCCCCTCCCCAGCTTGCTCGTTCACTCGCTCTCTCTCTCTCTCAAAAATAAATAAACATTAAAAAAGTTTAAAACATAGGGGAGCATGGGTGGCTCAGTCGGTTAAGCATCTGACTTCAGCTCAGGTCATGATCTCATAGTTCATGAGTTCTAGCCCCGTGTCGGGCTCTGTGCTGACAGCTCCAGCCTGGAACCGGCTTCGAATTCTGTGTCTCTCTCCCTCTCTCTCTGCTCCAACTCCGTTCCTACTCTGCCTCTCTCTCTCTCTCTCTCTCAAAAATAAATAAACATTAAAAAATTTTAAAAATAGTCTTTTATGAATAAGAAGGGAACTTTTTGTTTGAAAGAACAAAGCTCAGTGAAGAGCAAGACCTTGTCTGTCATACTTACCATTGTGTCCCTATCACCTAACACAGAGCTTGGTGTATTGTAGATGCTTAAATATTTAGTGTACAAGTGGATGAATGACTTTTTCTCGAGGGCGATGAAAATTGGTTATTTTGAGTAGGGGTACCACGTGATAAGATTTGTGTTTTATTAAAAATAACATGGCAGCATTGTAGTAATGAATGTGAAGAGAATGAGACAGGGGCAGCTGTTGCAGCATGTTCTATGAAGACTCTCAGGAGATTCCTTTTAAATGACCTCCAACCTCTTTCTAGACACATAGTCTGTCATTCTGCACTGAACATCTGGTCGTTTCCCGTGTATGCCTCAAGAAGGTGTGAGCACTTCTTGTTCCGACCCCTTAAGAAGGCTCAAGAAAATCCAGAGATAATTCACAGTGTATTTAAGTTACTTTCTCAACACCTTCCATATAGGAGACACAGAGTTGAAGTTACCAAATGATCTGTTTTATAGAGAATAAAAACATTCTTGTCTTAGTCCATACTTAGTCTTAGCGAAGATGATAGAGTCACATAAACTGAGTGACTTATAAACAACAGAAATTTATTTCTCACGGTTATGGCAACCAGGAAGCCCATAATCAAGGCATATTGTGTCTGGAGAGAGCCCATTTTCTAGATGGCCATCTTTTTGCAGCAACTTCACATGGTTCGAATGAGTAGGAAGCTCTGTGGATCGCTTTGATAAGAGCAGGAATCCCATTCATAGGGGCTCCACACTCATGAACTATATACTTCTTGAAGACCCCTCCTCCTAATACCATTACATTGGACATTAGGTTTTAAAACAGGAATTTTGGAAGACACAAATATTTAGTCTATAGCTTATGGTATAGTATCTTGTCTGTAGTTCTTGTTCAGAGTGGGCATATGAATTTTCAGTATTGGTTATGGTAACCTAGGGCTTACACGGTGAATGAATCCTAGCACATAAGTGATCCCTATTTTCAGAGTAAAATTCTGAACAGAGGTCAAACATACACAGTTTTGTTCTTATGTATATTAGTTTTCTATTGGAGTGTGTCAAATTATCAAAAACTTAGTGGCTTAAAACAGTGACTGTTTTCTACTCATAGTTCTAAAGGTCAAGAGTCTAGCATGGCATGGCTCTCTCTGCTCAGAGAACCACAGGCTGAAAACAAGGTTAGCCTGGTTGAGTTTTCATTATCTGTACCTTCCTGGGTAAAAAAGAAATTTGCTTTCAAGCTCATTCTTGTTGGCAGAACTCAGCTCTTTGTGGTTGTAGGACTATGGTCCCTATTTCCTTGCTGGCTATCAGGGGTGGTCCTTAGCTCTCTAGAGGCTCTGCAGGTGTTCCCTCCATACTGAAGCCAGTGATGGTGTGTTAGATCCTCCTTATGCTTCACGTCCCCATCTTCTTCTGTTGTTGCCCTTTAGAATGAGATTTAAAAGGTTAGGTCCACCCAGATAACCCCCTTGTTTTAAAGTGGACTGTGTTATATAATATAACCTATTCATTAGAGTAAAATCCATCATATTCACAATCTAGGGACTACGCAGAGCATGTTCCTCAATTGGGAAAATTTGAGAGAGGCATCTTAAATTCTGCCTACCATACTTGTATTTATAATATTAAAAAAAAAATACCACCAACAAGATTCTGAACAGCCTCTTGCAGAGTGCAATCTAAGCACTTAGTAAAGGCACAGATTAAAATGTGATTTCATTAATATTTTGTTTGAAAACTAGCACACCTTTTAATGATGTTAGTTTTTTAACATCTAACCTTGACAAACTACTACAAATCTTTAGAAATTTTACTTGTTTGTGACTCATTCACTTCTGAATATTACTACCATTCTTATTACCAAAACAAAACCAAAAAGAAACATGCTTCTGCATTTACTACTGGGAGTGTGGTGGTGGGGGTGGTTTTTATTTGTTTGTGCAAGGAAAAACAAAACAATGTCGTATAATCTATTTATAAACACTGTCACTTCAAAGTGATTTTTAATAGTGAGAGTTTTGTTAAGGTAACTTGAGTGGTAAAGTAAAATATCTTTCAAAGTTTGGGGAATTTCTAGATTTAAATAAGGAAGGTACAAGAGTTTAACCAACCGTACGATTAGTCAATTACCAACTCGGTCAACTAAAAACACATTTCTCCACATACTCCTCACTTCTTACATCGACTCCAAGTTTGAGACGTTTCTAAAACCACCTTCAGGTTTGACAATTTGCTAGAAGTATTCACTAAAAGCGATGGTACTCAAAGTTGTAGTTTATTACCGGGAAAGGCTACAAATTAAAATCAGCCAGAGGAAAAGGTATATGAAGCCGAGTTTCAAGCTGTTAAGTATAGGCTAAGGCTGAGTCTGAGTTTGAGGCCTGAAGAACCAACCACAGAGCTTTCATTGACTTCTCCTGATAGAGTCAGGAGACATTACTTCCCCAGCATCAGTGTGACAACATGCATTGTCAACTAGACAAGCTCACTTGAGACTTTGGCGTCCAGAACTTTTAATGGGATGTGATTACATACTACCCAAATTGTTGACCTTTAGTCTCCAGTCCTTCCTGGATGTCACTGTTGGGTTGATACCTTTAGTCTCTAGTTCCTTCTAGAGGTAAAACTGATAGTGCGTGGCCTGAAGCCCTCACCCAAAATCACACTGTTTGTTCTGTGGCCAAAGCCCTCTGGCAAGCAAAGACACTCCTGCCAGATATGACATGTGGAGGGCCTAGAGATCACCTCTCAATAGCCAAAGACAGAGCCATGTCTTTCTTTGGATAAGGTTAATTTTTTACTACACAGAAAAGGAGGGAGGGAAAGAGTAATGAATGCAAATAGTAGTTATCACTTATTGAGAGCATCCTATGTGTCAGGCAGTATGCTAAGCACTGTTTCCTTTAATTCTTTGAACATTATTGGAAAGATGCTTTAATTATTTTTATTTTCAAGACAAGCTGAGATTTTTCAGATTAAGAAACTTATTCAAGACAATGGTGGAACCAGGATTTAAACCTACATCTGCCTAACTCAAAAGTACATGATCTCACTTTACTCCATTGCCTTCACCAAAACCAAAGGACAATAAGAATATATAATAAGAATTTAAAAGCAATTATTCTTGAGAATGGTTTTCAGAATAGTCACTCGAATGTATAAGAACATGCACTGCTATTTTAATAATGTAGGATACAGAGGAAGAGGATTAATATAGAGAATGGTTATGTCATTGAATTCATACCTTCCAAATGGATTCCAGTCAGCACTTTATCATTTAATTAATTCAAACACATTTATGGGATATGCATTCTATTTCAGGTGCTGTGCTGGCCACTGGTGACCCAAAGATGATGACAAATACGTTCCTGTCCACAAGGAGCTAGCAAACCACTGGGGTATGTAAACTGTTTCTTTTATTATTATTTTTTAAATATTATGTTAGTTTTTAAGGAAAACAGAGAGAGTGTAATATGTAAGAAATATTTTGCATACGAATTTTGCAAGCATTTAGAACAACGTTTTTTGACTGGGTGATCTAATGATAAAGTTACTGGTTTGGAGATAGTTGTGAAGATAAGTATCAAGTAATTAAACTCAGCTTCAATAGTTTTGTATATTCTGTAATAATAGGATAGATCTTTTTTTTGAAAAATTTTTAATGTTTTTTATTTATTTCTGAGAGAGAGAGAGAGAGAGAGACAGCATGAGCAGGGGAGGGTCAGAGAGAGAGGGAGACACAGAATCTGAAACAGGCTCCAGGCTCTGAGCTAGCTGTCAGCACAGAGCCCGATGCGGGGCTTGAACCCACCAACCATGAGTTCATGACCTGAGCTGAAGTCCGATGCTTAACTGACTAAGCCACCCAGGTGCCCCAGGATAGATTCTTAAAAGTAAAACTACTTCAGAAATAAAACCAACAACATAGCACTGAGATTTGTGTGTATTTCCTACTTACAATAGTATGTGAGAGAAATTAAGGGAGAATAGGCATGCCACCAGAACACATCATACATAACAGAAGTGTGCATTTCTTCTTCACAATTGTCATGTTGATACTCCACTTTTTACCGGTTACTTCAGTGATAATTTTTATCTTTCATTTTCTCCTACTTCACTGATTTCTCCAATTGAGCAAAGTCTATACTGGGATAAAATAGGATTCCCTGTTGGGGTGCCTGGGTGGCTCAGTCGGTTAAGCATTGGACTCTTGACTTTTGGCTCAGGTCATGATCTCTCAGTTCGTGAGTTCGAGCCTCGCATTGGGCTCTTTGCTGACAGCATGGACCCTGCTTGGGATTCTGTCTCCCTCTCTCTCTGCCCATACTCTGCTTATTTTCTATGTCTCCCTCAGAAATAAATAAAAATAAACTTTAAAAAAAGTGTAAAAAATAGGATTCCCTGTTAAAGTTGATTATTTTGGCAAATATGTATTTTATTTAAGTTTTTATAATGGCCCATGCTTACAGTATACCATGCAGTATGCTCAGAGTGGTCCTGAAGAAATAAATATAGTAAATGCAGTAATATACATAAGAAATATTACATTCTAATTATACTTTATATATTTTATAGCTTAATGTAGAGGAATAGAATTAGAAAATAAAATAATAAATTTATGTGTACTTGGTGTCCAGTACTTCACACTGGTGCTGCACAACACTAACAACAATATACATGGACATATTTAATGCATTTATTAATATGCTATCTAGATTAAGCATTATAAGTGCTGAGAGTGCAGTTGTGATCATTTTAAAATGTGAGCAACCCAAGGGGAAAAAAAACTGTCCTTTTTTTTTTTGCAATATGATTTTAATTTTTAAAAGCATTTAATTTTATAAACCATATCCATCATCTTTGCATAGATAAATGTTGTGGCAATTTTTTGAATGAGCATTTTGGTTCCCTAAAGAAATTATGGATACACTATAAATTTATAAATGAAAGGCCATTCATCAGAGTTATAAATATGAGTGGTTCTTGTGCTGATGCCCATGTAAACTTAAAGTGGTTTAATTTCTATCGGCTTTTGAGTACAGTTAGTACAACGAAAGAATATAGATACTGTCATACTTACATGGTGTCATATCATTGGCAAAATGGTGAGAACGGCATGAAATATTTTTTGAATAACATGGCATTTCCTTGAATTACTGCTGGCAATAGAACATAAATCAACCTTAATGACGGATATTCCAAAGATGTTTATTAATCTATTCATTTAATCTGAAATACTCACTCTTGGCATTTATAGAGCCAGTTCAAAGGAAGTGGCAAGTGCTTCTAAACCCCAACTGTGACTTTTAGGGGCCCCATAATTATGTCAGCTAAGTCTGGTTGGAATGGAGATTAAAATGCATAAAAATCCTTTGCTCGTAATCTATGCTAAAGATATTTGCTTAACTGAAATATATTTTCTCGTATATGTCTAATAAAAATTTCAATTTGTTCCATCATTGGTGAAATTTACAACATGGCGCTCTATTTGAATCTTCAGTTTTTAAAGTCTGCTTTTCTCCCTCCTCCCTACCATCCTCCAACCCCCACACTTGAAGATAATCCTGTACTTTGTATACTTTGACAGTAAAGGGCTGGAAAACTCACCAAATTCCTGTCCATCAAATTAAGATACAGCATATAGCATACGATTTTGACCACATGTAAGAAGATAGGTGGGATGGACAGAGGTAAAGATAGAGAGAGGGAAATTTTTATTAAATAGCAAAGGTCAGAGAAAGCCAGTAGCAGTTAAGCTGAAGAAGAAAGGAGTCAGCTAGGCAAATGTTGGGGAGTAAGATGGTATATATGTGCATTGATGTCCATGTGTTATTTATCAACATATGGGAAGTCTAGGCATAGAGCTACTTCTGTATTAAATAATGTAAAGGACTCAGGTTCTCTCCATTTCTTCACTTCCACTAATACACCATCAGTCTTAGCTTCATTTGGGAGCAAGATGGTGGCAATAGCAATAGCATTGCTGCACTGTTAAGCATCCTCTCAGGCTTCATTCAGACCAAACTGGAAAAAGAGAGTCTCTTTCCCAGAAGCCCTATCACAAGTCTCTCTTTGCTAATTGGCTTTGATTAGATCACAGACTAATCCTGCACACCTCTCTTGGAGTAAGAGACAGTGTCAGCTTTATCGTTTTCCATGGACTAGGCAGTAGGATTGCTTCCCAGAGGGTAATGGAGTACTTTTAACAGAAAAAGGGTATATGGATGCTAGGTAGCAAAAAATAAACAAACAAACAAATAAATAAATAAATAACTGCTGGGAAAAAAATAATTACAGTGGGGATATACACATAAAACTTTATGTATAATTCCAGAAGCCTATAGATTTTCTAGCAATCCATGGATTCTACGTTAAGAACCTCTAAAAGTAATGTTTGGCATCTGGAACAAACAAAAACAGTATTGATGTCCATAGCTATCTAGGAAAATAAGCTTTTACTTTGATTGTTTCTTGAATAAAGCCACAAAATGCATATAATCTATAACTACTTGTCTGAATGATAATATCAAGTTAAGAGTGATAAAGAAGTTATATTTTCTTGTTAGCTAAAGTAGAAATGAGTGGTTCACTCTGAAGGTGTTTCTGTAACTATTGTGTATAAGGAAAAGGAGCAAAAAATCTCTCTCTCTCTCTTTTTAAAGAGAGAGAGTATGAACAGGGGAAGGGGAAAATGGGAGAGAGAGAGGAGGGGGGGGAGAGAGAGAGAGAGAGAGAGAGAGAATGAATGAATGAATGAATGAATGAATCCCAAGCAGTCTCCATGCTCAACATGTAGCCTGACAATGGGGCTCAATCTCACAACCAAGATATCTGAGGAAAAATCATTTATTCAAGGTAAGAACTTTAAATAGGCAACATTGGGAGACTTCTATTAGAAAAAGAAAAAGAAATTTTCCAATATTGGTTTGATAACTTTTATTACACTTGGGGTCTGTATTTATATGCATTCTAAATCCTTTCAATTTAGTCAGTTTAGTTAAAAGAAGTATAAATTAAGGAATAAAAAGCACAGCATAAGGAATATAGTCAATGATTCTGTAATAGTGGTGTAATGGGATAGATGTCAGCTACCCTTGCGGTGAACACAGTATAATGTATAAACTTGTCCAATCACCCAGTTGTATACCTGAAACTAATGCAACATTGTGTGTCAACTACACACAAATTAAAAAAAAAAAAACTTAAATATTATTACTCAGAAAAGAATACGAATAAGGTCTATGAAATAATTTGTAATTGTTTGATAATTGGCCCAAACTCCCTGTTGATTTGCCTTGTTTTTAGCTCTATGTTATTTTGGAACATGTTGGTGAAGTCAGTTATCTCCTTAAAATTATTTTTAATTGAGAAATCTTAGGAGAATTGTTAGAAAATACAGGTCAATCATTGGAAAATATGAATATTTAAAAAATACTGACATAGTGATTCTGTACTTCTCATTAATATTGGTTACAAAACAATCTTTTAATAATGTGGGCACTAACATAGCCGCTGCCAAGATAACAATCATCCTTATGCTTTACTTTTCATACATTCTCAGTTTATCGACAAGCAGGAGTTAGCCTGGGATATTAAGTTGCATCACTGGGCACAAAAGGAGTTTTTCTTCTGAAGGGAATCAAAACACTACTCAAAAATGGAAAAGAATCCCATGGTTGCCAGATATTTTTATATTTTATTTTAGTTTATTTATATATTTATTTTTATATTTATATTTTAGAGAGAGAGAGGATAAGGAGTGTGAGCAGAGGAGAGGGGCGGAGGGAGGGAGGGGGAGAGAGAGAGAGAGAGAGACAGAGAGAGACAGAGAGAGAGAAGAAAGAGAATCTTAAGCAGGCTCCATGCTCAGTGCAGAGCCCCACTCGGGACTCAATCCCATGACCTTGAGATCACGGCCTGAGCTGAAATCAAGAGTTGGATGCATAACCTATTGAGCCACCCAGGTGCCCCCGATTGCCAGATAGTTTTAGAGAATAAGTGTGGAAATTGAAGATGGGTTTTCTGTGCCACCTTTTGTCTCCTCAAACAAGCAAAAACTTCTGAGGTTTACTCTTCCTCATGAATGGATAAGTTTTTTAACCAAAATCTTAGGACTAAAGTGACCAAATCTTATGACATAAGTAACTGATGACTTAGGACTAAAGTGAATTTTCACTACTCCGTGTCTAGTTATTCTAAAATATTCTAAAGTATTCTGAGTATTCTCAGTTGTGAAGAAGAACATTATATTTTCCCTTATCGATTAATGCTACTGAACTGCTATAGCTATTTTGGAAGGTGTCTACTTTTTTCAAAATATTTCTGAAAAGACCATAATGTACCTGACTTTCCAGGTTGACAGGTTATTTTCAAAAAATCCACTAGAAAACCTTTGTTTG